AAGCATGGAAGGATTCCACTTTCCCTGGTACCTTTTTTCCATTGTTGAAATATCCTGATGAAAACGTTCGCCGTGCTCATCACTTACAGCTCCGCAATTGTCAGGAAAAAAGTCCAGGTGTGAGTGTAGGAAATGTATCTTAAGAGACATATTACAGCCCATCTTTTGATACGATGACAGCATATTTTTGACAAGGGTTTTATAGTTCTCAGCTTTTTTATTTCCCAATAAATTAGTGACCACCAGACGGAAATCATTCCAAGCAGTTTTTTCAATACCTGTTAAAGTGTTTTCAAACTGTGTATCTTTCAAAATATTTCGAATCTGTGGCCCAACAAAAATACCTTCTTTAACCTTTGTCTCACTTAGTCTTGGAAATTTCTGACGCAGGTATTGAAAAGCTGACCCATCTCTATCTAATGCCTTGACAAAGTTTTTCATTAGGCCCAACTTGATATGCAGTGGTAGTAATAAATTTTTTTTCGAATCTACTAATGGCATATGCTGTACATTTTTTTGATCTGGCTCTAGGAATTGACGAACAGGCCAGTTTTGTCTGGTGTAATGAAGTGCCTTTGCCCGACTGTCCCATTCACACAAAAAACAGCAAAACTTTGTGTAGCCTAGCTGCAGCCCAAGTAAAAGTGCAACAACTTTCAAATCGCCACAAATATACCATTGGTGCTCATCGTATTTTATGCATGTCAATAGGTACTTCATATTGTCATATGATTCTTTCATGTGAACTGCATACCCTACAGGAAGAGATGGTAAAATATTTCCAATATGCAATAACACTGCCTTTAAACTCAATGTTGAACTGCCTATAAACAATCTCCATTCTTCTGGGTTATAGTTTATATTTAAAGCCGCCAGTAAGCCGTTAATGTTACTGCAGAAAACCAAGTTATTCTCCATATTGAAAAATGGTTCTAAGTCTTTGTGGCGTTTACGAAAAACACATACCGAAACATCGTCTTCTAACAAGTTCCACTGCTGCAGTCTTGATCCAAGTAACTCTGCCTTACATTTTGGAAGTTCTAAATCTCTTACAAGATCATTTAATTCTGACTGTGTTATTTTGTGCGGTTGGTGGCATGACGTGCTCGGTATAAAATCAGGATCTCTTGACGTTGATGGCATATCTTCTTCCTGACGAATCACTCGATCGCCATGATCTGCTTCGTTTTCTGATTCGCAAGTGTAGGATTCTGGGGGTTTTGGAATAGGATTTTCGTCACTGTGAGGCACAGGTCTCATCGCAGATGGTCTGTTTGGGTAGTTAATAACCGATTTTTTTTTCTTGGACATACCTGTGGCTTGTCCAACACAAGGTACCATGGAAAAGTAACAATGATTAATATGATTTGTAGGCTCTCTCCAAACCATTGGGACAGCAAAGCGCATAGACCGTTTTTTGCCATTTAACCAGCTCCTCAGACTTGAAGCACATGTATTACAGCAGATGTGGAGTGCTCACTGTTTGTCTTGATCACCTAGTTTACAACCGAAATAAAGCTGATATGCCTTTGTTATTAGTGGAGTAATAGACCGTCTCTGAGACGCAAAAGTCACATCACCACACACGTAACAAAACTGATCTGGATTGTTTACACACTGTCGAGACATCTTGCATGAACGCTGTCAGCCAACTGAGGAAAAAATGGCTAATATAAAACAATATAATGTACACGTATGTATAACGTAACACAATCATGCCGATTACATCATCTTTCCTTGCCGAATATAAAAATGTAGCACGTGCATTCTTGTGAATTACAGTATATTAACACTGTCACAGCAGGAACACATATAATTACCGTATCTCTAAAACTTGAACTAATATTGAAAAAATAAGTTTCATTCCGGTTTTAGCACATTAAAAATAGTAATATTTTGTTGATTTTATTTAGAATATTTTTTGGCTGTTGATCAGTGATAATCTAAACATTAGAAGATTGTATTTGATTACAATACCTACCATAACATAATAAAGAATCATTTAGGAAATCATTCTCATATAAAATTGCCTTTTTGGTAAGTAAATTCAAAATTAATGATTTTCCTCTCTCTGTGGCTACATTTAAGAGGAACCTTAAAAGTGCTTTACTCTCTCAGGTCTCATCAAAAACATATCGTCTGCTTCTCCTTCCCTCTTCTTCTCTTTCCCCTATTTTCGCTTTCTGTTTCTCACTCATAATTATAAGTTTCAATTTATTTACTTGCTATACTCCGCTATATTTCTTTAATATCAAAACTTTATTAATTATCAATGTCTTGATAGTCATCTGCATTGCTATAGAATTTTTTTTAAATTTGTTTGTTTTTTATTTGGCTCTAGCAGCTGCTTCTTTAAGGAGCAAGCTGATGACATATTTATGCGCTTCCCGCCCCGGTGTAATTCCACGCACCTATTAGACATATTTCACAAATCTTAGATTTCCTCGTACATTTGCTCTTAAAACAGTAGAGAAATATTTTCAACGCGAGTCACTGAGTATACTTCCATCGCGGTTTCACCAGTTCTGATGCTGAGGCTTGCTGTGGCGAGCGGCGAGTGGAAATGTATGAGCGAGAAGAATGATAGCAACGTTGCCAGATGGTCGTTACTGTCGGTATTCCAGGGAAAATTTCTTTTGGACTATGAGCATGTTTGACTGACTTGAACCGTTCAATTTTTCTGTTATACATGTTTATAGCTAACTTAATAATAATAATAATAATAATAATAATAATAATAATAAAATGTCTTTATTTGGCACATTATATAAACTACAACATAATGTGACCTCTACGTAGGCGAAGTCTAGCTCTTGGCTACTCTACTTAACCTACCCAAATAATATATAGAAATTCTTAATCAAAGGAAACTTTGACAAGCAGCAAGAGACGCTTCAAAACAATGAGCTTGATAGCTTCCTGACATACATAATATATACACACATATATTAGGTAAAAATAAAATAAAATATAAGAATTAAAAACTAACTTTTCCACAATTACCACAATGACAAATAAATCTGTTTCACATGCTTACGAAATCTGTTTACTGGCCAATCCTTTATATTGTCATCTAATTCGTTATAAATCAGGATAGCATTGTAAGTGTATGAACTACGAAATAAAGTTGTTTTATACATAGGGATCTCTAGTCTTTTTTTGTGTCTGAAATCAATGTCTGAATTATTTCGTCTGAAAACAAATTTCTCATAAAGATACAAGGGGGATCGAGAAGATATGATCTTATGTGTAAACACTGCTATATGGTACTTGCAAGCATTTTCTATACACATCCAACCAAGCTGAAATCTCTTTAAGGAAACATGATCATACTTCTTGAGATTAAATACAAATCGACAACAAGTATTTTGGAGTTTTTGGAGTCTTGCTTTTGTGATAGAATCAAGACAATGATAGAACATAGTGCTACAGTAAAATAAGCTTGGAAATATAATAGCCTCACATAACTTTGAAATTCAAAATAGAGCGATTGACATAAAAACAGTTCAAAGTTGCATAACATTTTTTCAAGATAGACGAAACATGCTCCTTAAACCGTAAAGCATAATCAATAATCAACCCTAAATTTTTTGTAGTATTTGCGACAGCTAGACGCTCCTTGTCGATTTTTACATCAAGATAATTCAATATAGTGTTACGTTTGACAGCAGGACAAAAAAGCATCACTGAGCACTTATCCTTATTGAGCTTAAGATTGTTACCATTTGAGTATCCTACTATTGCCTCCAAATCATCATTAAGCTCATTGATTGAAGTATGTAAAGTGTTACTATTAAAGCTCTTATATATCTGTGTATCATCGGCATAGCACATCACAGAAGAGTTTTTCACAGAGCTACCCAAGTCTATAGTATAAATTAAGTACAACAAGGGCCCTAAAACTGAACCCCGAGGGACACCTGATGTTATATCAATCGGACTAGATATAGTGTTGCCTATCTCTACTACTTGTGTACGATTTGAAAGATATGTTATAAAAAACATTAGAGGTATGTCTGAAAAACCAAAAAACTTCAATTTCATCGAACGCCTTAGAATAATCTAATGATACAAGTGCTGAAGCATCTCCCTTATCAAGCGAAGCAATGATGTCATCTAAAACCCTTGCTAAAGCTGTAGTTGTACTAAAACCACTGCGGAAACCAGATTGACACTTGGGAAAGAAATCATTATTAGAGAAATAATGATAAACCTGATGCTTAATCAATTTCTCCAATATCTTCGATATAACAGGAATCAAAGTTATAGGTCTTAAGTCTGAGAGACATTTTGGATTTTTATATTTAGGCAAGGGCTTGACAAGAGATAGTTTCCAAGCATCAGGGAAATACCCAGCCTCCAGGCAACAGTTCAATAAATGCGTCAATGGTAGTAGTACTCGAGGCAAGCAATGCTTAAGCATTGAGACTGTTATACCATCCGAACCTGCTGCATTAGATTTTAGGGACAGAATAATTTCTAGCACATTTTGTGGGGTAGCAAAACTAAACTCAAATCTAGCACTTTCATTAATTTTGGTACTATTAAATTTATCAACTAGATCCTTGCAATTGCCCGAAGGTGTGGAAACGGAAGAAAAATAATTGTTTACTTCATCGGCATTTTTCAACTGCGTAGGTAAAGATCTATCTACATTAGTTTTGAGTTTCAATGAATGTACAACTTCTTCTCAAAGGATATAACTTGTGCCCAGCATAATCTTAACTAAGTGCACCCACTTGACGCCATTTTTTTGCATGTAACAATAACTTTCCGTGGATCTCCTGTGAATTTCAGTCACTCGAAATCTAGAGCTCAGATATAAAGACCGAAATGGTTGTGGCACGTTTATTCTTACCCATTTAGGACAGTATTCTTTCACGTACTTCTGTAAGAAACGAGGGTGTAAAACTCAATCTCAACTGACCCTCTTCCGTCAAAGTCGCCCAAAATTCCAAAAACAGATGTGTGCTCTCATAACGTTCACCTACATCACCTCATTATATTCTCTCTGTTGCATCCTGAATCTGTCCCCTCATTCTTCGATTCCAGTTCAATACTAGACAATACATCCACCATCCATCCCTAATTCCTTCCCAGGTAATGAAGATACCTTTCTCTCTAAGCATAATAGGAAAGACTAGCACGGGGGACGTCAGAATCTTTTCTTCTTGTTCGAATACTTCCGAAACGAACAATGTTCTTGACAGTACCGAGGGAAGACAATTGAATTGGGAATAATCGAAGTGATCTGTCAACGGACTGATGCCTCCTTTGACAGTTATAAGTATAATTTGGTACTGGAAACAGTGATTAATCATTTCTGTTGGTGATATTGATGACGATTACTCATGTATCTACTGGCGTACATATACAGTACAACATACAGCTTTATATTGCATTGTCGCTGAAGTTTGAGACATGAGTTAGCATTTTTTATACATTAGCCATCAAGAAAGACTTGGCCTCAGTACCGGTGGACATCGTGGGGCTTAAGGGGGATATGGATAGTGACCATAAAGAATCTCATCGAAGAGAGCAATAACCGAAATATTTGACTGACTTGTATCCACTTCATTCAAACCATGAAGAAGTTTTCTTATAGTGTAAGTAATGGCGTCAAGTAGGTTGGCCCTTCCTCTTCCCTTGCAACGCCGTCGAAGTTCATAAATTATTAGGACAGCACAAGTTAGACTCTCTGAGGAAAAGTTAGTTATGAACATGTATAACAGAGAAATTGAACTGAATAGATCAAGTCAGTCAAACAGGCACACGCAATTATTCCGTAGAGATTCTTTCCATACTCTACGGGTAGTGACGCGTATCATATACAGGGTGTAATAAATAATATTCGTAACTTTAAGAGGTGATTCCTTGCATTATTCTAAGCAAAAAGGTTCATTATAACTTATGTCCGAAAATCAATCGTTTTCGAGGAAAGCTAGTCGTAAATAATTAAATTTTCTCAAACATTTGACAACGTTGCAATGCAACCGCGATTCGATTCATCGAGTTGTTTATGTATGTATGATATTTTTGTTAAAAATGTGCCTTGAATTATTGAATAATTTTACGCTTTTTTTGTGGCTAATACTTTTTATTTAATAACGCTTTCAGTACAGAACATTTACTTAAAAAAAATGTCAGAACCTACCGGTACGTGGCGATAAACACCATCAATTCCCATGATTATCAGTCACTTATTTGAAACAATGCGATGCACGGAAAAAGAAAACATCAGTAAATCACATAAAGTTACAGTTAAATGTATTAGTAATCACAATAGATGTTCTTCGGTTTCCACTCCAATTTCACGATGTCTTCCGCGATTGTTAAAATTAGGCACTACGTTCCCTGTGTCCAGAAGTCTTTGGGATACTTCTACGAATGTTCTTCTAGCTGGTAGCCTTCGATCGGGAAAACGTTCTTCGTAAATGCGCCTAGCCTCTTCAGAATTGCAATGAGCCTCTCCATAAATAATAAGCATATCGTGATACTCGCGTGCCAAAAACATCTCTTTCGTATCCTAATGCACGCACTGATACAGTAATACATACTGAATAATAAAATGTGATTTCAATTCGGGTAAACATTACTTGCATTAACGAATGCAAGAAACTATCAAATAATTTTTTTCCGATATAGGTATTCATTTTTTGCAGTGCAGGCGGAGTACGACGTTGCCAGTTGTGTGAGGGATTTTGTTTGTTTGTTTTTCCTCGGAAAATTGTATTTAATAAGCAAGAAAATTATTTTGTTAGAGACAGTCGATTAATAAATAGATGTATTCATACATTTTACGCTATTAGGCGTATGAATTTAAATTATTAAGGTGCAAAATTTTTTTCATGACTAAAAGGAAATAAGTTCATCATTTTTTTGCTCAGAAACGGTTGGTTTTCGGACATATGTTATAATGAACTTTTTTGCTTAGAATAATGCAAACAATCACCTCTTAAAGTTACGAATATTATTTCCCTAACTCCTCCTATCGTATAAGTTTTAAGAGCAAATGTAATGGTAAATCCATGATGTGTGATAAATGTCTAATATAAAGATACTAATATCAAAAACATTAAGATAACCGTTCTCAACAACAGCCATCCACCCAATTTTCTTACCGTTACGAATTTTAAAAAAATGATCAGGATCTTCCCAAACGTCAAAAGGCGAAGATTGAGCGATTTTTTCAACTTTTTGGGTCTTTTTTTTCGTCGCCACTGGTCCGACTTTTAAAAAATACAAGGCTTTATCTTCCTTGACAACCTTGTGTGAAAAATTCGTCAAAATCTGACTGGTATTTTCCAAGTTATACTGATCGACGGAGATTACATGGATACATGCCATACATCCAGAAAACATAATATCCACTTCTAGAAATTTTTAGCGATTGTTTGCCAGTAGACGTGGTAAATAAAAACGACACTTCGGAACTATTTGCTGATTAGCATATGGTGTCTTCCTGACAATTTGCATCATTTGTTGGCAGTGACAAAAACTCACATTTATATTCATTTTGAAAAAACTTTTTTTCAAATCTATTATTTTTTGATTTAAACTACACTTATGATCATGCTTGGTTCCTCCTGATAATAGACTCTACTCAAATTTGCCCTGTTGCTTTAGTGCAAAGAAAAATCACACAAATCATCGGTCGTTAGAAGCTGGATCATATGGAACGCTTCGTTTATTACTAGATGTTGACTACTGTTAAACCAGGTTGAGCTATACGCAAAAATAGTTTATAGGTATAGCTGGAGTAAATGAAAAAACCTATAAAATGAGATAATGTGCATTAGAACCATCTGACATATTCAGCTGTAATATCTACCCATATTGTAATGCATTATCCCTAATTAATGGCCTTTTAGACATGAAAGCATTACCGCCTTTAGTACTCGTATAATGAAATAAAAGTAGTTCTGCCTGAATATACCTAATTAAAGTAGGCTTTAGAGATGCCAAAAAAAGGATTGCAAATCCCACCGCCATCTATGAGACAGTAGCACAAGCAATTACGGTAGCTCCTTCCAAAGTAGATTTCTAAATTCATGTTTGTGTTCTGCTACTATGTCACAGATGGAGTTAGTATCTTACAGATTCCGTTTTGGGCGCCGGAATACAGTATAAGGTCGGCTATATCCAGAGGTATAATACGGTAATCCTGGTCCTGGTCCTGGTTAAAAAATAGCAGAAACGTCGCGAAAAGTGTATCTTTCTAAAAGGGGATTATGTTGAAGAATAAAAAGAATTTTTTTTAAAAAAAATGGTGTCTTCATTTCTAACACGGCTACTTATTGTTTTTTATACTCCAACTACCACGAAGGCCTAAACACCCATGGGGTACCGTGAGGCTATAGGGGGATATAGGGGAAAGGGGGGGGACGCCACACGGACTCTGGCGAGGGAACACGTGTGCATGCAACATGCACACATCCTGGCCCCGTCTACGAGATCCGCCGGGTGGTACCTCCGCGTTCGACAGTCAGAGACCGTCTACCACCTACGGACAATCACAGCATCCATAGCCAAGAGAAAAATTTCTGCTGGGACGGGATTCGAACCCGTACAGCGCACGGCGACAGATAAGGAGACCGAAGAGTCTACTACTGCGGCCACCGCTGCTGCCTAAAATGCCTATTGAACCACCCTCGTATCAAATAAGACACGTCAACGAACAAACCCATAAAAGATCTAAAACATACCCAATCCACAAGACCACAGCCAACCCAACACCAACAAGCTCAAGTTCAACGTGAACCGATCTAAGTGAAAAATGAAAATTTCAAAGTGCATATCTCAGTGAAAAAAAAAAGATATTCAAGCCAACTCAATGGCAAAGCTCGCTATGTTACATATCCTTTATAGAAAAAAAATCGCTATTTTTGCACATTTAGGACTATAATCAATAGTCCTAAAGAACAATGACTTTGCTTGTTCACTACATGAAATGAAACTGACATCTGGTCATAAGAGCATGTATGCACCCTTTTAATATCAAGTATGTAATTATACAATGGCGGTACGCGGGTGCGAATAGTTGCAATGACCGCTTGATTAATACTACAGGAGGGGAACTCAAACAATATGCAATTTCTGATAAAAGTGGCTGCAAGTAGGTCGACTCTACTTCCTGCGCTAAATAATCTAAGTTCGAGTAAGTGTATCGCTTCTGTACACTACAAAAGTGCGTGTAAAATTACATACGATATCACGTAAATACTTCCGTAATATTTCAAGTTTTTTTTTTGTTTTTACAATAATAACAGCGTAAATTCACATGACGACAGTTGTTGTTACGTATGTATATTTAATATTAATTTTGTACGACAACACGTGTAATACAAAAAAGTTACAGTATAGTTTTCACAGTCAGCGGCGAAATCACATAAATAATGTGGATCTATCAGATTATCACCATGTTAGCTTTGACAGGGGTAGAATTATTGAGATGTTGGTTTGTCCTATCGCGAAATTGGCCGCCTTGTTAATTCTACTGCAATAATGGTAATGCGTGTGTGTCATGTGTGGAGAGAAAAAGGAAGAGGAACACGAAAAAGGCCAACTGGTCGACCGAGGCGTACCACAGAGCATTACTGACAAGTCATGTCAATATATTTTCCATAGGCATAAAATTTATATTTTCAAGCGGTGACATGGTTTACACTACTTACTCTCTATCGCTAAGCAAAACGTAAAAACAACGGAATTATGTAGCTGATAAACTTCTCAATCTGTATAAAGCTTACTGGCTAAGTTTAAGCTTGGACTATTCTTCAGATGCCTGGGGAGTTGCTGAATGTGGAAGAATTCATCCGATTACTATAATATACTAAGTGACATGTAAATCCGAACACCCAGTTTAAATGATTTTATTTTAATAAAAGTTGGTGAATGTATTTATCTTACTGTAAATAACAAGTGAAAAAATGTTCAGCCTCATCAGTTGGACATTCCGGTTTTTATACTGCTTTTTTTTTAATTCACTAACGCTCTAAAAATGAATATTTCAGCCGCAGTAAAGCATCAACGTTGGCGGATTTTGGTTCTTGACATCCTTTACGATCGGTTACGATGCCTAGAGTACGGAGACCTGTACGATTTCGTCAACTTAGTGAGTTTGATAGGGGCCGTATAGTGGGACTTCGGGAAGCTGGACTTTCTTTTCGGGCAATTGCAGTTAGAGTGCAAAGAAGTGTAGACACTGTGGTTAGGTGTTGTCAGGCATGGCTTCGAGAAGGCCGTACGCAAAGAGCAAGGGGCACTGGACGCCGCCGTAGAACAACAGACCGTGAAGATC